CTTCTTGAACAAATTAATTTGACTTTCGTTGCCAGCTAATAATCGATTGATGTTTTTGTGATGCGTTAATACCACTAAAATAGCTGTTGCTAGTGCAAACAATCGATACATAATTTCTGGCTCACGAAATATGAAAAATATCAAAACAGGAAAGGCAATACTAGCAGATATTGAACTTAATGAAACATAACGTGTTAAAAACAACATCGCAAAAAATACGATTACCAAACTGCCTGCTACCATGGGTTGAATAGCCAAAATCATTCCGAATAAGGTTGCTATACCTTTTCCTCCTTTAAAATTTGCCCAAATAGGAAAAATATGTCCAACCACAGCTGCAATGCCTAAAATAACTTGAAAATTGGTCAACTCAACATTGCTCATTTGGTAACGTGCAATAAAATAAGCTAAATCGACAGCAATAAATCCTTTGATCATATCTATTGCAAAAACAAAAGCTCCTGCTTTTGAACCTAATACTCTCAATGTGTTGGTAGCACCAGCGTTTCCACTGCCATAATCTCTGATATCGATATTGAAAAAGTATTTGCTCACCCAAACAGCAGTAGGAATTGAACCTATCAAATATGCTAAAATGACTAATATGACTTCTTGCATGTATTATTTTTTGTTAATAACGGAATTACAAATATAGGGTTTGATGTTGATTAATGCAAGCTACACTTGACGATTTTTTATATGTAAAGATGCCCATGTTTTCTTTTGTTTGCTAGAAACAACATACATATTTAATGGAATAAGTGCGTTTTCAATGGTTTTAATGTCATCAATTAATATTCCACTTAAAAATAAATCGCCATTCGGTGATAGTAAATCTTGTAAATTTTTCATGTAAAGAAGCAAAATGTTGAGGTTAATATTAGCTTCAATCACATCAAATTTTTCATTGAACGTTGAAATGTCGTCTATAGAAATTTGAATATCGTTGCAATTATTTTTCTGACAATTTTCTATGGCATTTTCTACAGACCAAGCATCATTGTCTATTCCTATAACTTTTGACGCTCCTTTGAGCTTCGCAAAAATAGCTAATACACCAGTACCACAACCAAAATCAAAAACCGATTTATTAGTACAATCTGTTTCTATTAAATACTCCATCATCATTTGCGTAGTTTCATGATGTCCGGTTCCAAAACTCATTTTTGGTGTGATTTC